TTTTTTTTTTTTTTTTTTTTTTTTTTTTTTTTGTACCGGGGATCAAACTTAGGTCCCTGTGCTTGTGAGGCAGGTGGCGGAACCACTGAGTTAAATCCCCAGCCCTGATGCTATTTTATTTCTGCCCTTGAGCCAGATATTCATGTTCACTTGGAGAGAAATCTCCTGGGGCTTATGGTCCTGGGCCTTCCACCCCTAGCCGGGGTATCCTCTGTTCTGTCGGAGAACACATACTGTAGGTTCCCTGTGTTCTGGGGATAGCTGCCGAGGACTCTCCAGGCTGAGCCCACAGGAATGAGCCCTCTGTGGGATTCATGGGCCATCCTCTTTGGCACCCAGCTGGGCTGCTCAAGTGGCTTCCTCCCCCTCTGCCAACCTGGTCTGTGCATGGCAGCATCCCTGAGAAGAGTGGCTGGGTGGGTTGGGGTGGGGTGGGGGTCCCTCTTCCCACGAGGAGCTGGAGCAGGGTGGTGGTGGGAGGTGGGTAGGAGAGCCAGGCTGCCTGGGTTTCCACCCCAATTCTGCCCCCACTGGGTGACCTTCAGGTCTCCTCATGTGTCAGTGGTTATGGTAACAGCACCTTCTTGGTTTTTGACAGTGAACTAATCAGTGAAATCATCACCGTAGGAGTAAGAGGGGCAGGAGTAAGGAGGAGGGAGAGCCCTCTGTCTGGGCCCGTGTGGCCCTTTTCCCCTTGGCCCCAGACCTGACAGGAGGGTGCAGGCCTGCCTGGCAGAGGGCTTCTCAATGGGTAGCAGCACTGTGGTCTGCAGCTCTGCTCTGCTCAGGGCTGGTGACTCCGCAGCCTCCCTACTGTGCTCGCTGTGAGCTTTAGTTGCTCCGCCAGAAGCATAGTAGGTGCCACTCCACAGCCCGGGCTGCCTCAGCGCCCCCAGGGGTCTCTGAAGTGAGACGCCTTCCAGGTTTCTGACTTCTGTGTCCGGACCCAGCTGCTTGGGGGCCTGGCTTTCTTCCACCCCTCTGGCCTCTGTGGTCGGCTCCCCAGGCAACCAGTCCTGGCACCTGCACCCCGGGCCCACCGTCCTGGATCCGCCCTCCGCTCAGTGCTGATTGCATCTGCCCCACATCCTGCCCTGTCCCTGCCGGCGCCCTTCTCCGCTTCCCAGCTCTGCCTCCTGCCTGGTCTGAATGCCATCTCCGTTTATACTTCTCAGGCATTCAGGCGGCCTTTAAGGATCTCAAGCGAGCTTCTCCCGACATTTATACACCCTTCCCGGCCCACATTTGCACTTTGGTGTTGAACACAGCGTACTCCCCGGAAGAATTCTGGTGTGGACTCGGCACCCTGTCTGTCTGGTGTGGGAAATTTAAGGGAGCCTGGGCGATGGGATCAGATGCACATTTCTGTTCATTTCTAAAGGGAGGTGACTTTCCACTTAGCTCTAGACTGGGTGGGGTCAGAACGAGAGGTGTGGTGAGGGGGGGCTGGGACGCCACCCCCGGTTACTGCTACAGTCTGTACACAAGGGGCGATCAAAAGCTTTAAACTTAAGACAGACTTATTACAGTAAAGGCACATCGCCAGGATAAGTGCCTTCGAAGTAGAGGGTATTTGAGAGGCTGATGGCAATGTGTGTTTTACTGAAACACATTGGAAAATTTAAACATTCGCTGTATTTTTTGAGCACCCCATGTTTATCAAATATTTACAGCAGTTTCTGCCAGGTAAAGACATTACAGTGTGTTCTCATCTGCCTTATTCCGGGATCTGTCACCGTGTGACCTCTAGCTCTCCCCCAGAGTCAGATGACCCTGAGAGGTAAATGTTTTGCTTGAGGCAGCCATGACCAAGCAACTAAAGATGCTCACGAAAGAAAACTTCCGGGACTGCTCCAGAAAGTGGCAAGGACAATGGGATAAGTGTTCGAAGTGCGGAGGAGCATTTTGAGGGGGATTAATGACAATGTGTCTTTTATTGTAATACATTTTTAAAAAATCTTAACATTCACCTAGTAGGTCCTCATTTATGCCTTCAGGAACCCAACGAGGCAGATACTGCCACAGTCCTGTAAGTTACACAGCCATTAGGTGGGAGAGTCAGGATTGGGGTGCGGTCTGATTATCCCCCCTAAAATCGTTTGGCCTCTAGGAGGAGGTGGGCTGGGGCGTGGGGTGTGGATGTAGGTGCCTCTGAATTTGTGTAGCCCTCAGCCGGATGACTGCGTGTGAGCGAATCCAAGCCTCTCACTCATGTTCCTGCTTCCCCGTGCCCCACCCTGTGGCCTCTTTCACAGCAGAGCCTGAAGAGGGAGGCGAGAGCCCAGCCTGCCTCCCATGCTCTGCCAGCCTCCCAGGTGGACCCAGAGCATGAGGCTGTCAGCCCCCCAGAGCTCGTGTGTGCTTCAGGCGAGACTGTGTTGCTGGAGGAAGAGGAAAGAACAGAGCAGAGGATCTGGAGGTGTCTCAGTAATACAGTTCCTTAAAAAGCCAGGGATTTAGCTCAGTGGCACTGCGCCTGCCTCATAAGCACTGAGTTCGATCCCCAGTACCAAGGAAAAACCCCAACAGAATAGGCGGTGAATGTCTGCAGAATGTTTGCAGGCTGTCGTGAGGCGGGAGGACCTGTGCCTTGTAGGAGCCTAGGAAGGACTGCTCCAGACCGCCTGCTTCAGCCTCTCCCCTGCCCCTGCCCTCAGCTTCCTGCTGTGGCTTCTTTGTAGATGAAGATGTGAGTGACTGGTAATGGGCCTGGGGCATCAGGAGCCAGTGGGGACCACTCCACTCGTGCCCCACCTCACAAATCCCCAACCAAGACAGGATGTTATTAACTAGTTTTAGAGGGAACATTTGGGATTCTTCACTGATGGG